CATACACGCACATCGTCCTCCTTGACTTTACAGTTTATGGTTGCCTAAAGCAATCAGAGAGCCGCAAAGTCATCAAGGGGACACTAGCACTCAGAGCGAGAAGACTGAAGATACTTGTAGACAGCCAAAACAGGAGCTAAACCAGGACTAAACCAGGATTAAATCAGGATTGACAATAAAGGACACAGTGCTTGTGAACATATACCTCCAGCCTGAGTTATCATTCTCCAGTGACTGCCATTCAAAACACCATAAATTCAGTAGTATCATCAAGCTTCAGTGGGCAGGTGTGCTGCTAACGTGTTCGCTGATGCGGAAGTACCGCTTAATAACATAAGCTCCATGAACACAAACTGCTGTTATAAAAACAGTGTTAATAAACAGACTTATATTAACACAAAAGAATGCTAACTTCTGCTTTACGGATGTCACCATTATCGGTATAGCAGAAAACCATTTGCCGTCTGCATTTTTAAGATTTTATCTTGGTGGTTTACCACGTCCGCGGTTTGGGCACCATGAGCCTTTCTGGCGTCTCTGAGTCTGCTGAAGTTACCCCGCGGGCGCACTCCATATACGACCTCAGGACAAAGTCTAAAGTGTGGGCATATTTCGGATATTTAAAGAATGCCGAGGGACATCTGATGGAAGATTCGGTCTGCAGTACTTGCAAGAAAAAGGTTTTCGCTAAAGGCAGCAATACTTCAAACCCCATGGCTCATCTGCAGGATCTTCACCCATAACTCTATACCCACTGCTATGTAAGATAACATCAATGTTTAAGCTGGAATAGATGATGCGGGGGAATTTGGGTTGCAATTCCGGTCTGTTCAGAATTCTTTGTTCAGTTTTCAAGTAGTTTGAGAGAGTTCCTTCAATGGGCACGTACAGTTTAACAAATAGCTAGCCAAGCCACGCTAGTGTGGGAACTATTTTATTTGCATTCATAAAAGTGGAGTGAAGTTAATTGTGTGTGTTCAATCGACAAATAGCCGTATAATAAGCGGGATAATGTATAGAACACAGATCAGAGTCGTAAAGTACCTTCAGGACGGACGCAGTCTGGTTTGCCCTGTTGGTACTTAATTTCCGATAATGACCTGCGTTCTATACATTATCCCTTACATAATTAAGTGGTTGTTGTCAATCAAATGTGACTTTCAGCTAACGTTTGTTCACATTTTTGAAACTATTTCAGTTTATTTAGGACGATCAATGTTTTCTGAAGATATTCACTGAACTTAAAAAAAAAATGCAATAATATAAAAAACTGTGATAATTTTGGTTAAAAAAAACGTGTGGTTAAAGTTTCATACCGTGACACCCCTGATAATCAGCAACCTAAAACTAACTGTCTCAAAACAGTCTAAACCTATATAACTTAAAGCCAGGGGTACTTAAATTTCAAATCACAAAAAATCTATAACTATAGTTGCTTCACTTCAAATGCATGTATTATTGGTCTCTGTCACAACCTCAGATCTGCTTTATCAGACAAGAAAGAGAAAAAGAGAGGTGCTCCTGCCTTTTTCTGCTTCAGTTCTCAGCCCAAAGATAAATAAAAAGCTTATCTTTGATGTGATTTGTTCACAAAATGTTATGTTTACCTGACTCTTTTTCAGGTTATTATTGATCAAAAGTTAGTTACCCCAGCATTGAGTGGGCAAAATCAAGTGAAAGCAAATACAAGTATCCATGATCAAACAGTACCAATGCTGGACGAACAAGTAACAAATGAGATGAACCCTGGTGCTGTTGGCAGGTTATGAAATATGAGTTTCTGCTCCATCCTCACCCCCTGAAACGGTACACTGCGGCGTGTGGACAGTTTCCTATACATTAGCGGCGAATCGATGTGCCTCTTTATATCCCGCTCTATGATGTCACGAGAGCCGGGCAGGAAGCAGGACTTCATGATGGATCGTGTCGAGTGTCTGCCTCGACTGGGATCTCTCCCCTCAGCTCACTGTTACATCATGAGTATTAATTGAAGCAATACTGACAGAGACTATTCATTTATTTATAGGGCACAGGGATGTCAATCGACTGCATCAGCTACCAAAACACAATCCACTTGACTGCAAAGGAAACAAGTACAATCCCTTTTGCATTAACAATAATTTTTCTCATGTTTGATTGAATATTAATGTGTGGCATGTATGGCTGTAATGTTCAAACATACTTAGTAAATTGTATGCACTTGTGCTAATGAATTCAGTCTCTAGTATTTGAACTGTAAAGCTGAGCCTGGGGTTTAGTCACTTTGGATTTCAAGTAAATCTCACCATGAGACTGGTGTATGTTTTAGCATTAGCTGCACCACTGCATCCTGCTAATCCTTAAGCTAACATTGCACTCCTAAACACACTATTTAATATGGACAGAGGACCTCCCTAAAGAGTTCAATCACTGAATTCAATTACATTTTATTATAAGTAGTCTTGGTTATATGCTTTGTCTTTCGTTTACCTCAAATTGTTCAGATCACAGGATGTAAGTTCTTCTTTTTGTTTGTTTGTTGTACTCTTTCGATTAATTATCAGTGAGAACAGTCGCTACAAGAATTCACATTCATTATCATAAAAAATGCACCATGTTCCATAAAGTGAGATTTAAAATGAAAAAAAAAGAGAGTTATTTTGTTGTGATTGAGTGCTGCTGGTGCATCGGCTGCTGTATTGATCCACAATTGATTTGCAGCACAGCGACAGAATGGAGCTTGGCGGCACTTGCACACTCACACTAAAGCCAGCAATTACTCACTATGGGGAAAAAAAGAACTTTACTTTATCATAAATGAGACAATCGTCATCCAGTGTAATTAAAATATCTAAATGTAAAAAGTATTGTGCTTTAAGACAGACTTTCATGTGGATCCCAGGAAGATAAGAAAACACCTTGTGAGGAGTCAAAGAAAGAATAAAGGTGAAAAACGTACATTATTTAAAATTACGTTGTTCTTTTTTTTTTTAGGTCCTGCACATTCGCTTTGACTGAGTTTATACGGAGGCACTGCGCAGACGTTGCCAGGCTATTATCAGAAACAACCAGGCTCCTTATGCAAATTTCACAGCACTCATACAAGGTTGAAAACACTATGTAGTTCTAGCGCCCGGCCAGTAGTGGACAGAGGAACGTTACGACACAACACGCATGACCCCCAGCACAGTATAATCACTTCCTCTGCAAGACGTGAAAGATGCACCAACATCATTTTGCATTTAACAGCAGCTGCGAAAATGGAAACTGAAACTAGAGCTTCGCGTGGTTTCGTTTGGACAAACGAAGGTGTAGAATTATCCTCTGTGTAGCGCTCGATGCACACGTAGCTAGTTAGTGTGACCGCCGCCATTGTTGTTTACGTTGTCCATCCAGACCCAAACTCCACTCAGTTTGCTGTGAGGCATGAATGCTGCCCACTCAGCCACTGAGGTGAAGCTTCTTCAGAAGGATTTTTCCTACTGCACTGAAATGTTGTGCGGACCCGAGATAACAGTGACTAGTTCTGGTTATGCTGTTTTTGAATGTCTTGTGTCCCCGTGACGGCTACGTGAGGCTCTCTGATAGCCACACGTGCTTCAAGAGGAAAAAGTTAATCTCTTGCTTTTGCTGCATACATTGTGTCGCCGCCCACTGCCTCTGCCACGCCGCACCTGATATTCCTCGCACAGACGTGCATAACCATTGACACGGTATTGAAACACAACGACTATGTATCCACGGACGCATGGTCAAGTTGTTGTTTGTGGCTTTTTTTTGCATGCGGGATAGTTCGAGAAGCCTCTGCCTACATCTCCCAGAATGCAGCGCGCGTCTAACTCGGCTTTAAGTTAAACAATCGAACATTCTATCAACCCCATTATCTATTGATATCAAGCACGTGTCTATCTCGAAATATATCGTTATTGTTCTATCGCCCAGCCCTAACAGTGAGAAAGAGTGCCGAGTTCTTTGGATCTGTATCAGGTTTTCATCATTGAGAAGAGAAGAGTGTCACAATAAAATATTCAAAACAAACTTCAAAATCAGGCTTCTTAAGGCAGAGCACAGTGTACCCAGAACCAGAGTGAATCTCATTATACTGAACTAAAGGAAGTTCATGTTCCACGTGGAGCAATATAACAATTTTAAAACAAATTTTCAACTTCTTAGAGGAAGGAGCAGTGCGTGCACAAACCCAAACTCTGATGGGAAGAGTTGTTATGCTGTCATTATGCAAAGTGTCTATGCGTGACTTCTGCGTAGTTTTACAACCTTCTGCCCATGACCCAAATCTAAGCAACAACCTAAAAACTGTTTTTTTCTGTCCAAACTGCTGCTATAACAAAAAGGCTAAATCACCAGGCAGGTGCGTAAGAAATGGTCGCGCTGGAGTTTTGGGTCAAAATTCCAGTGTTTTAGTGCAGTGGGAATGAGGCTATAGACGTCTATTGAGACTTACTCTCGTTCTACATTAGCCATTTGTATCATACTTTGACTTGGTGTTCTTTCCGTCTGAGGAACAGATGCTGATAAGATGTTACTGTGAAAGCATAAAGTCATGAATGAAATAACAAGCGCATGGGCAGCAGGCTGTTCCCGTCAGCGCCACAGGGACAGAGTCTGACGTGCAGATTGCCATGGAGAATAGTGAGAATTCATAAAAAGGGTGTGGCTGTTTTAAGTACAGCATGCTTCAGTGAATCAGTGGGGTGGATGTGTATCCTTGACCTTTAGACAACACCGCATGCTGCTACTGACGTGATGGAAAGGGGGGTCAGTAAGCACTGTGTTGTTGGGAAGTTGTCACAATGGAACAAAAAAATGTCAAGAGGTTTCCAGTCTAATGTAAAATCAAGCCAAATGATAAAGTTTAAGCGGAAAAAACTATTTAGATTTACTTCTCGACCTATATATTGTGTGATTTTTTGACATGAACATTGATTATCGATACCCAAATGTTCTGAACATCACTTGTGTTAGTTTGTGTAGGTGTGTGTGTGTGCGTGTGTTGTTGTTACCGTTTCTCTCGGTGTAAGGTATAGGAGCTCCTAAAGAAGCCGAGCAGCTCGTCCTCGATGGCAGCGTCAAAACTGATGTTGAGGCGGTACAATCTCATGGGCTTGAGTTCCCGGTGCAGCACCACCACATACATCTGATTGAGCGGAAAGGCAAAGTGCCGATGGATACGCATAGCGCCACCTCCAGGTCTGCTACTGAGGCGCCCACTGCCGCTACCCTCAGCTGTCACAGAAACCTGGTCCACCTGGACAAAATAGGACAAAATTGGGACAATGTTAAAGGCATGAACATGCAATATCAAAAAAATCATCATGCAACAATATGTTTGGAACTTTTTTTGTGGGGCTGTGATTGCCAGACCAGCCAACTCTTACTTCATTTTGACACTGCGACTAATCACATATCGCAGAACCGGGAAGACAGAACTCATCCTGCTTCCAAATGAATGAAAGTTTCTCGTTCCTTGTCCTTCTTTTACATTTTTTCATTCACCTCAGGGGCATAAAATTGACCAACTTAGCAGGATAAACATATTTAAATTATGTTAAATCTCACTTGACCAAACCTGGTTTCATCAAAGGTCACTTTTGAAGCAGAAGGACTAAGATGTATTCTTGCACCAAAAAAAAATCAGCAGTGATCTTTTGCAGCATCAAATCATAATTAATCAGGTGTAAATTATGTTATTTTGTCAATTGCTATGTTCATTTAAAAAAAATTTCCAAGATTGATTCCAAGATGATTTTAAAATTAATAACACATATTTTGGAATTATTTTAATTATTTGTCTTGAAATTTCCTTCTGGGTGTCCTACCTCTTACTTTGGGAACCACTGATGTATGTTACTATAGTAACAATGCAGACAAGTAATATGATGACAAAGAAGCTGTCGAGCCTTTCTGCTGTCCCCAGAATCCAGTCTCAGCGCCCACTGTAAGCCCTGTGTCTAATTCCCTGGGGAGAGGTTGTCAACAAGGATGGCCACATTCTGCTGCGCTCACTTTAATACAGACCCTAGGGAAGAGACAAGGTCAAAGCCCCAATCCAAATAAGCACATATCCACATCACCTCCACTTGAGCTGCAAACATACTTTTACTGACCAAACAGGAAAAGTAATCCTGAGCAGAAAACTTTCAGAGAAGTGCCTTCCACACACGCTGCTCTCAACAATCAACAAAATACATAAATACATCTACCTCGTTCATGTTGACTGATTTGCAGCAGTTTGATGCTTCTGATTAAAGCAGTTGCTAAGCAACACCTGACTTTCTTCCAGATTCTGGACAGGGCACTTGTCGCAAAGTTGATGTGACAGAAACCAAATGTAAAGAGCAATAAAGCCTGATAATTTAACTTAATATAAAACATATTCCGTATATAGAAGTTATAAAAAACAAATGAATTAATTCCATCAACTGAATGTTGATCCTTCTTAAATTTATTTATTAATAAAAGATTGGGAACATCTCTAAATCACCAATAATACTATGTGGAAAAATTCACTCACATTTATTTCAATGTAATGGGTCGTCCAACAGAATTTGAATTGAAATGTGTGTAAAAAGAGCGGATTGAACTTGAATGGAGAATAACATAGACTTTAACGCCACCTGTTGCATGACAGGTGTTCTAAACAAAAGCCCTTTTCAAATAAAACCTCTTTTCTATTTGTATTGGGTCATGTTACGTCATTGCTTGGGAATGCATGAGTCTCAATAAATAGTAACAATTGCAACAGTAAACCGCATCATTATTTCTTGCTGAGACAATGTTGTGCAGTTTAAGAGAAAATATATTTCAAATAGACGATTACAGTGCACTTCAATCAGGAGTCCGTGGGAGTGTATATAAAATAAATGCTTTGAGGTTATGTATCCTGCAATTGTTGCTTATTCAAACAGAACACTGGCTAAATTACGGAACGTGGATGGTTCTTTGATGAATGAACTGATCAATACAAAGTGAGAGCCAGCTGACACTGTGGGGATTAGAACATGGTTTTTCAGGGGCTTCTGTTATGTCAGCAAAGGCACTACCAAACTTCAAAATGCACTAAATACAGTATGAGTGACAAGAAACTTCTCCACACATATATGGTTGTGTAAAACATGCAAAATGACAAGCTCATTTTTGTGGGGCTTAATCTGGGAAGGGTTTTAGTGCTCTGTTCCGAGTTACAGGGTATATTTATAATCTCCTGTTTGGCCTTTTCCTATTTTAATTGGCTTCTGTCAAATTAAAGAGATTTATTCTGCCCTCATATTAGCCAAGATGACCAGCCTGAAATCAGGTTGCTTAGGCTTTTCTCTCCGGCTTTTCCCTTGTCTTGAAAATTGAGCTGAAACAGCTTCTTTGACGGTTAATTAGCCTCGTTAAGAAAATTGCTAAGGCCATATCTGGAAATAAACTGACTTTGTTTAAGACTGTTCTTTTTGACATTACATAGAAAACTGTTTTTTGAGACAAGCATCTTCCACTGTTGGTTGAGGTTGATAACTAAGATTCTTGCTGGTGCTTGTTTAAGTACAATTCAAATGCTTCCAACAAATTACATTACCTTCTTTATTTTGGTGAATTGATGTGGTTGTGATAGTTGACATGTTCACTCTCTCATGTCCATGTGCTAACCTCCTGTATATTTGTCAAGGTTGTATGTTTTGTGCAACTTGGTAACGTTGTCATTTCCATTTTCATCAAGCCCTCCCCTGAGCTACAATCACCAAAGCACAACAGCACAGTTGTGTCACCAAACAATCAGTGGCTGTTGCTGATTTGGTGTGAAGCTCAACCGGGCGCCACACACTCTAATTAACATCAAAGTGATTCACCAGTGAAAGAGCATGCAGCCTGATAATAGAGCTTACCTCCAGGCGGTCAGTGTGCAGCACAATGAAGCGGGTGGCGTTGACACACTCTATCTCGATGCTAACTTCTCCAGAAAAGGTGAAGTTGTCCATGCACACAGACAACCGCAGTTCATAGTGCCTGGGCCGCAGTGTCCCAGGCAGACGAGAGGTCCTCCATGGTTGCACCTCCTCCTCTCCCCTTTCTCCTGCCCTGTCCCTGCTCCCATTCAGTCTGGCGGAGCCCCCAGGAGCCCGGGAGCCCACCGCAGGAGTGCCATCTCGAGCTCCACACTCTTCATTGCGGACACTGAGGACAACAGCCACTGCAGTGACGATGATGAGGGTGAGGATGGACAGGGCAAACCCCAGCACCAGCTTCTTGTGCACTGTGATGTGGCGTTCTGTGGTGCGGGGCCGGACCACCACCGACTCGGCCCACTGGTCTGAGAGGCCTCTGCCATTTCGCATGGCCCCTGGGCTACTGTCGTTTAGTCCCATTTAGGCAAAGTCACTTTGTGTGAATGATGATAAGATGATTGTTTTTCACAATTTGTTTCTTCTCCTTCATTCATTTAGTTTAGATATGTGTAATTCTGGCTTTGGTCAAAGTATCCTGTGAGTCTTGTCAACAGTAAAACTACAACTACAAAAGAATTATAAAAGTTCTTCAGCACGACGCTGAGATGGGAAATCCACACCAGAAGGTATCTTATCGGTTGGGCAAGAAAAGTGACCAAAGAGAAAGAATGAGATAGATTCATGCATTTTGGCTTTACAGTGAGACTGGGAGAAAAAAATCAATTGTGCAAGGCTCAATTTCTAGTGTAGAAGTGGTGGAGGAAGAGGAGGGAAGGGACTAGTGGGAGAGGCGGTGGAATGCTGTTAAGGATGTGGCTGTACAGTGAAAGTACCATCCATATACTTCCAATGGAGGCAAGATGCAAAGTTTAAGAAAACTGTAATGACAAGAGCTAAGAAACAAGAAACCTTAGAAAGAAATCTTAGAAATTATACAGAGGGGTAATATGTATCTCAAAGTTTGGCCCTTTTGTAGATTATACAAAATACAGGTAACACTTATTTGACATAAAGGGATTTTCCATTGGAGAAATAGGCCACAAATTTGAGCTTCATGATAACAAAAAAATCAAAGCCCGCAATCTGTCAATATGCCCAAATAAAATTGGCCACAGCATGAAATAATTTGCCAGGAAGGACAGAGAAAGGACGATGAGATCTGAATGTGACTGACCAGTATCTAACCCGCTGCAGGGTAGAGGAGATTTGACTTGCCGTTATGCCCTTAATAAAGACGAGCGGCTCTGTGTGTGTGCCATGCCCATGTATCTGCCTCAGCCCCTCTCCGTCTCTTGAGGGGGTTAAGTGGATAATTTACAAGCAGCATGTGGGTTTATTTCAGCGTGCAGAAGATAATTCATTCCGGATATTCCGTGGGGCATAAACGATCCCTGCTTTACAGCTAAGCGGGCTGATGAATGAAAAGGATACAAAGTAATTGAAAAAACGATATAGGCATATGAACCCGAGTGAGAGTGAACAGAAGATCGACTCTACAATAAGATTTGTTAATGAGATCAGGCTCCCGGTAATGGCTCGACTGGCATCACCGAGGCTCCGTGTCAAAGTCCGATGATCTTGATGTAACAACAGAACTTCTCCTGGTTTCGGCCCAATGGAGAGGCACGTGTCCGAGGCTGTCCGCAGCCGCGGCCGTCTGACTTCGACAAAGCGCTCTTCTGACTGCCACAGTTCACAACTCGGTGAATATAGAGGCTAGAGAGGAGGAAACTGACAGTCAGTGACAGGTCCACGAGATCAAATGACGAAGCGCCTTTAAAGCACAAACCGCATGTTATGCTTCGCTAAACACGTAGACATTAAACTGTCGCTTGTGAGATCGGAATAGCGCGCCGAAAAGGCTAATAACCGGAGAACTGCGTGCAACGTCAAACCTCACGTTGAACACCGACCGCTCACCAAAGGCGAACGCCCGGTTAGAAATCCCTCAGACATCAGAACATCCACATGGTCCGCAGGAGAACGGTCTCAGCTGCTGCAGCTCCATCATACAGGAGCCAGACAACTTTTCAACCTGCGAAAAGCTCCAGTCCTGCGGCGAACAGGCAGAGACAGTGCGTGGCGTGGGAGATGAAGAAGTAGTGCTCTTGACAGTGCTCTCTTTCCTCTTTCCTCTTTCCTCTTTCCTCTGAGCTGAAGTAGGAGGCGCACTGCTCACCGAGCCGCTCCGCCGCGTGCAGCTCCAACCAAGTGGCACGCGCTGTCAGAGAGCGAGGACACCGCGAAACTGGAGGGGAGGGGGAGGAGGGGGGAGGCGCTCACCACGCATACAAATGCTCCCAGTTTTGAGACAATTCTTTACATTTTTAATGAAGTGGCTATAGTTTATAGAAAAAAGCCATCGTGATAAATGAGTCCAATTACCCCTACTGTAATTGGTTTATTACAATTGATAATTGGTTTAATACAAAACATCTACCTTCATATTAGGTTTACTGTAAAAGGACTTTTGAATATTAACATGCAACTGTTCCTTCCTTCAGCTTGTCCTTGGTCTTCCCCAGGGTCTGCCCAAACACCTTCCCAGGGAGGCATCTGATACCATCTTTCTGAGCCTTCAGGTTCTACTCTGAGCTCCTCAGTGTGACCAATCTCCTCACACTATCTCTTAGTAGTTCACAAAGTGGGGGTGCAGTGCTTAAACTGGACAAGAAAAAAAATACATTTTATTCATGCAAGAGGCCAAGTGGGCACTGCTGTGGGTGAGGTACATTTACGAGTCAGGTGCTTTTTCAGGATCGCTATGCTTTTTTGAAGAGGAAAAAAGAAGGTCCGAGGGGGGGGGGGGGCATATAGCACCAGGCCCTCACTGATCCTCATGTAGGTGAATCCACAGGAGGGTGGCAGCTTCCTTGATCTTTCAGCGGGGGCTTCAGGCAAAGTGAAGCCCCCGCTTCACTTTGCCTGAAGCTTCTTATTTTATTATTCTTGACAAAAAAATAATTTTTTATATCTTTATGTTTGAAGCCTGAAATGTGGCGAAATGTTGAAAGGTTCAAGGGGGCCGAATACTTTTTGCAAGTAAGTAAGTAAGTAATCTTTATTTATATACCGCCTTTCACAGACCAGAGTCACAAAGCGGAGATGGCAGCAGACATCAGTTGGGGTTGGTGGAGAAGGTCTTGTGGTGGGCTCGAACCCTGAAAGGCCATTCTCTATCAACTGAGCCACTGTTGCCCCCTTATATTTGACAATATATTCAAAGATATTAGGTCAGGATTACAGTTGATGCAACATATTATTTAATTTGTTTTATTTGCCACCCAAATCACAAAGCACCAGATGGCTGCTCCTTCAATGAAGCTACGGTCTTGGTGTTTCAGCGAGAGCTTCAGGCAAGTGGGGTCAAGTGTCTTGCCCAGGGACACAACGACAGCAGACATCTTTGGGTGCAAATGACATGGGTTGTGGTGTGATTGAACACAAAACCATAGCCCAATTTATTAATTTGATTTAAATTATTGCTATGTTGCTGTTATTGTCAAGAGTCATATTGTGCTCATTTTGGGGGCTCTGGAAAGGGCAAGGCCCTTTTTCCAGCCTAGAACCGCCCGGATTCAGAGGTCCTGATTTAAATTTGTCATGTTTTACTTTCAGAAGAAAATAGTCATTTCATTGTACCAGGACTTTCAAATTGCATGGTTCTGCAAACCATCATTGCATGTTGAAGGTCCTGGTTTGATGGAGAGAGATCGAATCCTGTGGCCCCAGACTGGCTGACCTCCGGCCCCTGGCTGCATCTGTACAGAAGTGACATTGGGTAACTTTGGTGAAGGCCAACATGTGCCGGGAACAGGTCTGACTTACTGCTGCCAATGCGAATACAGTGCTCACTCCACTCATAAAGGGACGCCCAAAACCCTCAGCCATTTCTCTCATACTTAATAAACACTTAAGTTCTCATCCTCACTCTTCACTTCCCACTACTCATTTTTATTCATGGTCATACTGTTTCTGAATATATTACCTATCTCTGAATGGGATAGAATGGTGTTTTCAAAGTAAGATGTATCTTTATGTAACATTTTATGTGTGAGTGTCACAATAATGATAAAACTCACAGAACTAAAGCAAATTTGATTATGCTTATATTTAACTGAATTATGATTATTGAAATGATATTGGACAGATGGATTATTGAGCAATACATTAATTGTATTGCTCAAGACTGCTGCCCCCGCGACCCGGCAACGGATAAAGCGGAAGAAAATGGATGGATGGATGGACATTAATTGTAAATTTAATGTAGCTCTTCACTGAAAATATATAATAGAAATATGATGATGTAACCGCACAAAAAACATAAAAAGCCTACTTTTAAAAAGAAATTGATCCCAAAATGTTGAATTCAATAACAAAAACACAAAACTACGGGAGTTTGTTTTCTGCCCAAAACATTGATGTTCTAAACTAAGCTTATAACTTTTTGAAAAATCGGATTTGATGTTCTTTTGAGGTCTATATGACCAAACTGTAGTTGGTTGAAGGTCAAATATACTGGAGACAATAAAAACCGTCCTCTCATCACCATTCAAACCACCAGCTGTTGGCCGACCACTGACCCATCCTGCTCACCACTGACTGGCCATAACATGATCCATTAATTTCACAGTGTCGGCCATCTGCAGTCCCTTTGCTGTATGATATATTAAGACACATGTTAATGCATGTTCTGCTCTTCATACTGTTCAAAAATCTATATTTTGTCGGCTTTATGTCCTGCTCAATGGAGCTAAAAGGGTGATCTCTATCTGTCAGCGGCTATAGTGCCCAGAGCTCCAGCCAAGGCCATGGCAGCGAAAAGCTCAAATATTAGTGAGAATACCAATATTTCACAACTAAATGAAAAAAGCAGCTTATTTTAATGGAGTAATTGCTTGTGCTTTTTAGTTTAGACCTCAGTATCACTTCTTCAAAACAATTTGCAAATAGCAGCCTTTAAAAATTGAATTACTCTAAGTGAGTGAAGTTTGTGACTCCTTTAACACGTAATATACAAATATGTGCATTTTAAAAAGGAAACCCAGAAAGGTGTTAGCAGCTCATCAAGTCCTCGCGCAGCTCTGATGATAATGCACACTTATGAATATAAATATTACTTAACCTCTATCCCAGCACATTTGTGAGTAGAAGCAATGATCCCTACAGACATGCAGGACAATTGGTGAGATTGCTCTGACATTTCATAAGACATTTTAATAGCAAGACTATCAGAACAAATTAAGACTTTTTGACCCAGACAATAAATGTATGGGTCACTGTGTCACTTTCCGTTGCAAACCCTGCAGAGACTGGCCACTCGAGGGGCCTCAGAATATTAGTCTATATGTTTTATTGGACAAAGTCAATCCACATTTTCTTTTCAGCCACATACACATGCAGTCTCCCTGACATTGCACGGCCAATTAGAGTCCTATTTCAGCCAAGTGGATCAAGGTGGAAGGCAGGCAGTGGAGAGAGAGGGAGAAAGAGAGGGAGAGAGTGAGGGAGAGAGATGCCTAAGTGGGCGGCACACTCCAGCCTCAGGGTAGATTGGTGTCAAGTGCAGAGAACACACACAGCGGGCACGAAAAGTAATGAATGTGTATTAGTTGTTAGGGAAAACACCAGTGTGTGTGGTCCATGCACTTGACACCAATCTAGCAATGGAGCAGCCTCAGCATGAGAAAAATAAAAACGGGCATGTCAGACGAAAGCCCAACACTGAAACCCAAACATCAATATTTTACATTCCTTGAAAGCACAAATCCATCTATGATTTATAGTGGGCCTGCAGAAGTGTGTGCTGGATGTAAACACAGCTGATGAGGCTTTGTGTGGAAGTGTTCAAGGGGCTTCAGACTTCCATTAAGGATAGTGACTGTGTCCATGACGGATACATTGTTCCATGGTATGTCGGATTCATAATTCATCCTGAGAAATATCCACTGAAGTAAGTTTTCATGACAAAAACAATGGTTTGGAAGGACTTCTTAAGCCACCTCATATCATATGGGTTTGTGCTCATCTCTGGCCAGAAGATGGTGCTGCCCTACATTCCAAAAACATAGACTCTAAATAATTAATTAAATATTAATGGTGTAACATCAGTTTGCACTGCCTTGTCAAAATACACATGCCTCAGCTGTTTAAGATGTGATGCAAACCTCACGGCAGGGTATAGGAGGATCTTTGTTTACACCTGCGTGCACATGCGCCCCTCGCTGGGTGGCAGGAAGACAGAGCGGCGCATACTGAAGCATAGATGCAACGAGTACTTTTAAACGACTCGTTGGGCGAATAGCACTGCACCGTAAAAACGATAACTAGTAATTGCTGAATTAATTAAAGTTTTCAAATTAAATTGACTCAGAAATAAAGCTCTCCATTTTCAACCTGAAAAAGCTTGTCTGCATGCCCAACACATTTCCGTCATCGTTGTCCAAACTAAGATTTGCTAAAGAGCATAACTAAGATTATCAACTTTTAAGTAGATTTTTTGAGTGAGGCTGAGAACCCGTGGGAAACCCCATACAGTGTTGCCAACTCCTCAGTAAGGAAAGTAGCTATTGGCTGTCCCAAAAGTCGCTAGAAGTCGCTAAATGACGTCATCGCCTAATTTGCATAATTTGCCATTTGCAAATAACTGTAACGGACGCTGTAGGAGAGAGGAATAAGGTCGTGGGAGAGACAAAAGTGAGTAAAAACACCCTAAATATGTTTAGAACTACAAATGTACAAAAATAATTTCAACATTAACAACATTTAATGATTTTAATGCTTTGTCTAGATCCACATTACACACATCAGTTTTGTCCTGTATTGTTAAATGTTATAACAGCAAATGTAATCAAAAGATTGTTATGTAGGGTGAAATTGCTAGCTCTACAACCAACCCTCCTCCTTTATCCGGGCTTGGGACCGGCAAAGTGACCCAAAAGACACACTCTGGCAGAGTTACTTAGGTTTATTTTTGTAAGTTTTTTTTTTTTTTTTTCATAGTTTGGCATAACAAATGATTTAATGTGACCCACTACTGAGAGAAAACAGAGTCACGGACAGAGCTGCCGCGGATGGAGTAGGGGGTAGTGGGGGGTGGCGGTGGTAGGAGTGGCCGGGGAGCTTTGGATGTGTGGTGGTGGTGGAGCTGGAGTTCAGTCTGCAGCAGCCTGAAAACTTCCTGTGCTTTTGAGTCTCCTCTCTCTCTCTCTGCTCCGCCCATAGACTGTAGCTGGGACTGCTGCGCAAGGCTACTGTGAGACTGGCCGCCTGTAAGTGCTTTGGGACGGG